GTCGAGGGGTGGGGCAGAGGCCAAGTCCCAGTGGGGACATCAGACCAATGCGAACACAAGCCAATAGTCCTGGAAGTTTACTCTGACCCTCAGGGCAAAGTGGCTTTTCTGAGTCAGAAAGTGAACAGACGATTAGGAACATAGGTTTTTCAGACAAACATATCCCCAGGACAAGTGGCTGAGGCCCCTGAGCACAAGCCAGCCAGCGGCCACAGAGGAGAACAGGTGGACTCCATGCCCACAGCCCCCAGGAAGACACATGTGTGCCTGTGAACTGGCTGTGGGACCGGTGCATTCTTTAATATGGAAGGGACAATAACAGAGATGGGAATCCTATGTCTTCTGCAGAAACCATGCAGGTAGAAGGAAACACTGGCTGAATTATGTCCCCAAAATTCATGTTGGAGTCCTAACCCCTAGATGCTCAGATTGTAACTGTAACAGGGGAGAGGGCCTTTAAAGACATGATTAGGTAAAATGAGGTCATGGGGTGGGCCCTGATCCACTGAGACTCCATAAGAAGAGGAGATTAGCCCTGGCCGGTTTGGCTGAGTGGTTAGAGCGTCGGCCAGCAGACTGAAGGGTCCTGGGTTCGATTCTGGCCAAGGGCACGCACCTCAGTGTCAGGCTCGATCCTCAGCCTGGGTAGGGCCATGTGTGGGAGGCAGCCAATCGATGTGTCTCTCTCACATCTGTGTTTCTCTCTCTCCTTTCCACTCTCTCTGAAAAGCAATGGAAAAAGGTGTCCTCGGGTGAGGGTTAAAAAAAAAGAAAATAAGGTGATTAGGACACAGACAGGCACAGAGGGGTGACCTGTGAGGACACAGAGACAAGACAGCCGCCCACACGTCAAGGAGAGAGGCGTCAGGAGGAACCAGCCCTGCGCACACCTGGCTCTCAGCCTCCAGCCTCCAGGGCTCTCAGACAACACGCGTTGGTCCCGTGTTTCCTATAGCCCGAGCTGATGAACGCAGTCAGCAGTCAGACAGACGCCCCCGCTTCCTCCTGCTCCCCCAGGTTTCAGCTAGTCCCCCGTCTGATCTCCCGAAAGACAAAATAAAATAATGAAGTCAGTGGTCCCACCGACTTCACCTTGACTGCATCACAGGCTCCTCCAGAAACAGCACTGCCTGGCCTCCTGCTGCCCCACGCGAACCCCGCCCCCACGCCCACGGGCCGGGAGGGCTCAAAGCAGGGTCTCTCCGACTACCATTGCATTCAATTCCAAAGTGGAAAAAGAGCCCCCCAGAACAACCCACCAGCCCACCCCATCCTCCAGCCCCCCTGGGATGCCAGGCGCCCAGGAAGCACCTCTATCAGACAGAACAGCAGTCACACCCCTTTCACCCTCCCTGGGAGCAGCATGGGCACGAGGGCCCCACCAAGCCTCTTTTCACTACGACAGCAGCTGAGGGACACACAAAGCCTAAGATGTTTATAATCTGGCCCTTTTTGGAAGAAGGTTGCTGATGCCTGATCTTGGCCAATGAAGTTTAGCAGGAGAGGTAAAAAACCATAGCAGCTATGAAACAAGGTATGAAAAAATAAGACATCGACAGAGGGTGGGGCAGTGACAAGAGAGCTTCTTGCGCAGGGATGGCAGGTCCTATCCATCGGAGTCCCCAGACTGACAATATCACAGGGCAGGGGCTGTGCACAGTGGGTGCTGGAAACATATCTAGGGATGAATGAATGGATGGATGGTGGATGAATGGATTGATGGACGGATGACAGTTGGATGGATGGATGGATGGATGGTGGCTGGGTGGCTGGGTGGGTGAAGAGATGGATGGGTGGGTGGAAGGCATGAGGGAACAGGAGATGGACAGGCGGGTAGGTGGAGGGAGGGATGGGCAGGTGAATGAGTGAGCGAACAAGAAAGGGAACTTCAAAGATCACAGGCACAGGATCGTGGGGCAAGAAGGGAGGCAGGTTTCCTGGGACTGTGACCAGCACCAGACTCTATAAGCCCATAACTGATACTTAGACAAGATCAGAATAAATACAATGACTTTTATTTTTTAAAACTCACACATAATTTCCAAACTATAAACACATAAAACATCTATCAATAATATAAGACTGGAAAAGATACTCAAAACTGGCCAGTGAGGACTTGAACAGAGGTGTTTTCCAACACACATTGTTTTCAACGTTACCTCTGGATGAATGCCTGTGCTGCCAAAAGAGGGACATCAGGGATGTCGGGGAAGTCCATGCTATCGTCACTGGAGTAGGTGACGCTCCCATTATCGATGTTGATCAGAATTAAACCGTCAGCTTCCTATAAAATAAGCATAAAGGCTGATGTGAGAATCTGAATACATCTTTGAAAACACACATACATTTGCACACACTGAGGAAGTCAGCATTATTAAATCACCCGACTTAATGTGGACACAGAGCCTTATATTATCTCTACCCAAAGTGCATTAAATACCATGAATTATATTAACAAGCTAAATTCCTGTGTCTTTGAGTCAAGATTCCAATACACATTATCAGGCTTTCATCTGCCCTAGTAGGCTGCAGGCTCTACTTCAGGGAGCCTGGAGAGAACATTCCAGAACTCTAGTGAGAGCAACACCAACATCAGTGCCTGACATGTCTATTCAGCTGCCCCTCCAGCTCTGCCCCTCCAAGAACCCGGCCTGGCAGGGCCCTGGGCTCAGTGACCACGTACACTTAGAATTTTTAAAATACGTATATGGCCTACTTGTGAAGTCTTATCTGTGACAAAATACACAGTGAGGCATGCACTAGAGTCCGGGGGTTCAACAGTCCCCGGAATGTGACGGGGAATCTCTGCAGGTCACCACCCCCAGTGTTCCTGCTGGGCCCCACCTCACATGAAATATGCAGACGACGTGTGCAGGCACCAAGCCAGCCTGTGGGCAGGGTGCTGCTGCGGGCCGAGAGCTGATACCTGCGGGTCCCAGCACCACTGACAAAAACAGCCAAACCCCAAGCATTCGGGCAAGTCCTGCTGCTTGTGCTGAAATCATCCAGAACAGGTAAAGGATTAAAAGGGAGTCCTTCATGACAACCAACCGCAACTGCTAGGTAAACATGATGAAATGATTCCCTTCTGAAGGGTCTGAAACAAGATGGTTTTCTTCCCCTCGACGACTAAAAAAGAAACCATTTTAAACTTCAGAACATGGCCTATTTTTTTCCTCATGTGCAAGGGGGGTGGGTGATGTTTTCCATTCCTCCCGTGAAGGTCTGAATGGCCTTTACTTAAAGTGTGTTTGTCCCCTGGTGAGTCACGCCTTGGCGAGCCCCCGGAGGCTGCCAGCACCATGCCTGCCACCTTCCGGGACGTGCTAGTGGGGCTGCACCTGAGGACAGCCAGGGACCCGCGGCACCCATTCTGGTCTTCACTCTGTTGTGTGCACACTTAGAAGTCTCCAAAATGAAACGTTAAATGAAAACCTACCCTGTAGGAACTGCCAGCAGGCACATGACAAGGTAAGGTGCTCGGCAGGGCAGTCACAGGGAAACACACATTGAACATGGAAGCCACCATGAGATCCCACTCCCACCACCAAGAGGCTAGGCGCGAAAGGCCGGCAACAGCAGCGCTGACAAGGATGTGGGGAAGCTGGAAGGTGCGAGTGCCAGTGGGCGTGAAAATGGTGCAGCTGCTGTGCAATACAGTCCAGCCATGTCTCACAGGGTTAAACAGAGTCATCACGGGCCCAGCCATCCCATCCCGGGGAAATGAAAACTGTGTCCACACGGAGATTCACACACAAACATTCACAGCTGCATTATTCAAAACAGTCAAAAGGTACAAACAGCTCACATGTCCATCCAATGATGAATGGAGAAACAAGCTGTGTTGTAACCATATAATAAAATTCTAGTTGGCAATAAAACACCACTGTGCTGAGGGAAAGCAGCCAGACACGAAAGGCCACATACATGAATCCATTTACATAAAATCCATGGAAGTGGACTCAGCAAATCCAGAGCCACAGAGAGTAGATGGTGGCAGCAGGGACGGGGGGGGGGGACAGAACATGTTTCTTGGGATGATGAAATGTCTAAAATTAGCTGGCACAGTGCTATAAAGTTACCAAAAGCGACTGAACTGTATACTTTAACTGGATCAACTTTGTGGTATGTAAATTGCATCTGAATAAAGCTGTTTTAAAACCAAACCCACCCTGCCTGCCAGCACTCACAGTATTTACCACAAGTCCATGACATTAGCTTTCCTTGTAAACCTGTGCCATCTCCAGACAGAAGAGTAAAAGCCCCTTCCACTTACTACGCACTTACTGCATGCCCCACGCTTCCCGTTGGCTCCTTTGATGTTTGCCATGACAATGCGGCCAGCACACTTACTGTCCTTTTACAACTGGGGCACTAAAGGGTTCAACACTGTCACACAGCGAGAATGTAGCCACTGAACTCAGGAAGGCCCACAAACCCACTAACGCCGAGCAACATGTTCAGTGCACATGCATTTTCTAGGAAGAAGGCCATAGAGTAACAAAAGCCTAAGAAAATTTTTTTAAAAAGAAAGGAAATATGGAGCAGTAGCAAAGGCAACCACCGTCTTCCAAGTCCCAGTTCCTGGCACTCGGTGGGGGCAGAGGAGTGTCTTCAGCTCAGAGCCCTGCCTGCCTCACAGGTGAGGAAACTGAGGCTTAAAAAAGGCAGGTAACTCGCTCACAAGCAGAGTTAGTAAGCGGCAGAGGCTACACTTGAAACCGGGTTCCATCAACTCCAATGCCTACGCTCTCCCCACTGAAAATCTCTGGGAAGCCTTTTGAGCTACTGTGACTTTAAGTGGACTGAGACGTGACACAATGCACTCAGAAACACTATGGCCTTGAACACAACCTGGGGTCCGCAGGGGGATGGAGCGAGGACAGGTGAGGTGGTACACTGTGTGTGTGGCACCCAAGCATAACAAGGGACTTGTGACGAAAGTGATGCAATCTCTCCGTGGCCGTGTGTGCTCAGCCCTCACTTCCAGCACTTTCTAAGCAACTTCTCATTAGTCCCCACAGTGGGCTCCCAAGAATTTAAGGTTCTGAATCCGAAGGTCAATACCTGACCTTGTTGACTTCTTCGAAGTGGTTGACATGGCAGCCCATGAGAAAGGAGGTGGGAGCCATGACGAAGTCCAGCATCTGCCCCGACAGGATGGGCACGAACGTGTGCTGCCACTGCAGGGGGTGCAGGTAGGCCAGGAAGCACTCGGCCATTAGCGTCAGCAGGGCCCAGCTGGCTGAGAAGAAGACGATCCGCTGCTCTGTCAGCAGGCACGTCAGGATCTGGGGGGATGGACAACAGACCATGGACATGCTTCCAACTGGGCACAGCCCACTTAAGACGCTTTGAACACGCCCCACCAAAGCCAGTACCTGTGATACAGGTTCTACCCAGATTTCCCTGCTCCATTTGCCAAAACAAAAGCCACTTGGATCCCTCAAAGAAGTGTAATTTGCAAATAGCATGCACTGTAGTAGAAGTTGGCTTTAAACAAAACATTAACACTTTGAGTACACCTGTCTGTACGTTGTGGAAGACACTTGCATTCGAATCATATTTTTTCTTTTTTATTTAATATGATTTTATTGATTTCAGAGAGAGAAGGGGAGAGGGAGAGAGAAAGAAATATCAATGATGAGAATCATCGATCGGCTGCCTCCTGCAAGCCCCCTACTGGGGATCAAGCCAGCAACCCGGGCATGTGTCCTGACCAGGTTCATGGGTCAAAGTTCAACCACTGAGCCACACTGGCTGGACCATTCAAATCATCTTTGATGCAACTGTAGTGTTGGCCCATGAGCTGACTGGCATGAGATACTCAAGTGTGGAAGGATGCGCACCTGTAGCACCTTCTCAGGTTGGAAGCACAGTAGGGGCAGATGAAGGTCCAGGTCGATGACTGGGCTCTCGGGGTCCGCTCGTGCAGGGAATACAATCTGTAGTGGCTTCATGTTAAATATCTGCAAAGACAAATTTCCATAATTAGTTCAGAGAGCTGTTCCCAGCCTGGTTTTCTGGTGTTTTGTTTGTTTTTAAAGGAAGCATCCTGTGGTTAATTAGTCTGAAAAATGCTAAGTTTCATCACATGGCATAGCAGTCTGACCTGTCACTCAACAAAAGCAGGCTGTGGTCTGTTTTTTTCTAACTCTCTTTGACCCTGAAATCCCCGTCATGAAATAGCCGAAAACATCTTGGAACAAGGGTTCCACAGAACCCAGTTTGGGAAATGATTGTCTATTAATTAAATAACACAGTGACACTGTAACAAAATTATATATATATGTATATATATATAACCAGTTATCTGTCATTAATCACATCAGACAGGAGAAAACATTAATTAACAAGTTATAATACCCAATATTCTGGACAAACAAAAGGGAAATTTATAATTTAAGTAAATGCTATATGTTTTTGTGTTAACTACTAAAGGGGCTGGTTACCAGCTCAGTACCTATTTATCAGGAGCCACTCAGCAAAACTCAAGCCTAGCTATTGGACGCAAGAACAAAATTTCATTTCTAAATTTTTAGGAAATAAATTTCTATTTTTAGTTTTTTCTACATTTAGATATAGTGTATAATATGCTTGTAAGGAACTTGAAAAGCAAAGTTTAAACACAGCTATAACATAAGGAATCTTTTAAAACACTGAAGTCATCTTCATCATGTTCTGTTACTATATGCAAAGAAAAAAATATAATTACCAAATGGAGAGGCCCAGGTGGAGGGCTAGGGATTAAAGATAGTTTTGCAGCAAAATCTTTTATATGATTGTCAACTTCAAAATCTTTACAGAGCTTCAGATGAGTCAATAAACTGAAATTTAAAAAGAAAAAGTCAGTCCTCTGTTCTACAAAATATGTTATGTCTGTGGCAATAAATACAAGCTAGACCCAAACTATGTCCAAATACCAGCCACCTTTTAAAAAATAAAACAGTGGAGTGTAGGAATTTGAATTACAAACATGGTTCGTTTGACCGGTGCGGATTCTTGCTCAGCCCCTGATCAGGGTGTGAGTCTGAATGGATTGCCCTCCACCAGGACTCAGAAGGGGCCTGCCCGCATTGCTCTGCCGTATCACAATACAAGAGAACCGCTGCTCATGTCTTTTTCTCAGTCTGTAATCAAACACTCCAAATTCTAAGGACAGAACTTGGTGGCAGTGCGCACGTGCCCGGTGTGACAGACCTCGTCGAATCCTTCCTCAGGGCCACACCCCTGGCAATGGGAGTTGATCGGTTTCCCGACACTTTCCCGATTTTTCAAATGTTCTCTGAATCCTCAGGCTTTGGCATTAAGTCAGTTAACAATTCTACCCAAAAGGGTAACTTTTAAAATGCCAGAAAAACTCATCAGAATTGACAGCAGCCTGCTGATTTTCTCAGATAGCCAGGGAAAGAGGTTTTCCTTATTTATGTCTCTTTTTTAAAACCCAAGAAAAACCCCTCCATACTGACTTTTCCTTCTGATAGTTTGCCTCTGTCTCCCCCTCCAGACCTGGGGTTTTCACAAGAGCTCCGGAGCCTGCCCCCAGGTCCTCAGTGGCAGCCCCAGGGCCCTCAGCAGCTCACCAGGACAGGCAGTCCCTGAGGGCACTGTAGTAGGGGAGCCGGGAGACCACGCACACGGCGAAGGGCACGAAGCAGCCAGCAGCACTCACGCTCGGCCAAGGCGACTCCCAGTGCGACTTGCCCTTGTAGAAACAGTACTCATCCTAGGGAAAGAGCGACGGTGACGGTCACCTCCCGCCTGGCAGATCCTCGGTGTGTATCTTCAACAACACCACATCTCCAGACAGAAACAGGACAGTGGGGGCTGGAGAGAGTCCTCCTCCCCGACACCCCTGCCAGCGCCCCCCCCCAGTTTCACTGCCAAGTCTGAGCGGGAATCAGCCTTTCAATCATAGTGACTGCCCCACTGGGCGCTTGCTCCGTAGAGGTGCGGAGGTGACAGAGGTAAGGTGTGTCCTTGCCCTGGGGAAGCCCCAGGCTCGGGGGAGAAGAATGCACAGTTAGAACACAGCAAGACACCAGAAGGGGCCACAGGGGCTTGGCTTAACAAGGAACAAACGCAGCATTTGTGGGTGCCTGGGAGCCAATTGGGTGTCACAGACAGGAGGTGTCATGGATAGGAGGAGGGAACAGGAGGGACCTTCACCTGTGACAAGGGATCTCAGCCAGAGAAAAAGTGCCACAGTGGGTTCCAGAAGGCACAGCTCACAAATGGTACTCTATGTGGGGGCCATAATCTGGGTCCTAAGGAGGGGGCTATTTGGGGGTCTCGGGGGAGGGATAGAGGAGCGTGATGATAGCTTCAGTTTGGGACTTCTTGAACTGGAGGTAATTGTAAAATGACCAGGTAAAGGGAGAAGTCCTGGAAACAGTCGGCTACGTCACCGTCTGCCCACCACCATTTAATGAGTGCCTACTGCTCTAGGGTCAGTCTACTCAGGTTCAAATCCTGGCTGCCGTGTGACCTCAGGCCAGTCACCTGACCTCTCTGTGCCACCATTTTCTCATCTATAAAACGGGATGGTCCTAATAACCCAACTTAGACCCAGTGTCAGAGAGGAGGCATGGGAGTCACCTACATGCAGCGGCCGGTAGTACTGGGCAACCACGGCGTACGTCCTATTCCCACAGACGTCGGTCAGCACCAGGAAGTGGACACGGTCCTCCTTTGGTTCAGAGGCCACACACAGGCCCCCTGGAGACAGAAACAAGAAAGACTCTGTGAAGCTGGGTGGCAGCTGTTTTCCTGAGAACAGTGGACCCCTGGTGTATAATCCCTGAAACCAAGCAGCAGCATCAATTTCTATTTCTCATGGAAATGACCAGACAGGTACTTACATCCTGTCCTCAGTATGAGTTTTCTACACCAGCCTTTTTTTTTTTAAATAAATACTTATTTTTAAAATTTTTATTATTGATTTTTTTTGAGAGAGAGGAAGGGAGAGGGAGAGAAAGAATCATCAATGAGAGAGAAATATCACCTATTGGCTGCCTCCTACATCCCCCCTGCAAGGGATCGAGCCGCAACCCAGGCATGTGCCCTGAGCTGGAATTGAACCGTGACCTCCTGGTTCATGGGTTGATGTTCAACCACTGAGCCACACCGGTTAGGCTACATTGGCCTCTTTAATGTTTCTCCAAGACCAGCCAAAAAGTGAAGCCCCAAACATAAGCCTGCTGTTGGCAGAACTGGCCAGTTTTGGGGGGAAAAACACAACCTGTGAGCCTAGCTGTGGGGACCCAGGAAATAAGTAGGAAAGGCAGAACTGGCTAACCTGACATCATTTAAGCCCCTGCCAGGCCCCTGAAGACTGGTCAAAATTGGAGCTGAAATTCCTTTGAAACATCCCTGTCTTCTAGGACTCAGTTTTCAAAAAACATGGGGACTGTGCTAAATGACCTAAGCTTTTTTTTTTTTTTTAATATATCTTTATTGATTTCAGAGAGAGGAAAGGAGAGGGAGGGAGAGAGACATAGAAACATCAATGATGAGAGAGTCATTGATCGAGCCCACAACCGGGCATGTGCCCTGATCGGGAATCGAACCCTGATAGCCTGGATCCTAGGTCAACGCTCAACCACTGAGCCACGCCCGGCCGGGCTAAGCTGCCTTTTAACTTTGAAACCCCCAAGATCAAGGAAGCTCTGTCCCAGGACAGGATGCAGGGGCCCAAGGGGGGGCCAGCTCGCCTCTAGTTGCACCCTCCTGAGTGTGCTGCTTCCAAACACAGGTCACGGGTGTGGCCTTAGGCTCAGCCATCCCCATGCCCGGGCACCAGGTACCTGGGAAGCACAGCTGAGGCAGGGCCAGCAGGTCTACACCGTTGGGCACACTGATGTCTTCAGCGTCCAGCCCTCGAGGGCCCCCAGGGAGGCCCTTGGAGGGCTCTGCTCTGGGCTTCTCCCTCTTCTTCCTGAAGGAGCGCCTCTTGGTTCTGCTCAGAGTCCCGCAGCTCGCGCCGGCCATCTGACCGGCCTCCTCACTGACGAAGGGTGGCACGAAGACGGACAGCACCTCCGGGTCGAGGGGGGGGAGGCTTTGAACTCCCCTTTGCTGGGAAACCTGGGACAGAAATAAGGGTTAGTACAATGGTGTTGCCCCTTTGGACTCACAAACGCAACACGGGCAGTTGCCCGCTGTCATGGGTGTGGCTTCTCCCACCAGCGGCTCACGACAGTAAGGACCCATTGGAAGTTACTTTCAGGAACTTCTCAGGCCTGATGTTCAGGCAACGGACACTGCCAGTCAGCTCTGTGGCCGCTGACGTGGAGGCAAGGCCCCGACCCTCCTGCACAAAGCCCGGAGCTGTGATGGGCAGACCCGAGTTCAAATGCAGTCTCTGCCTCCAGCCGGGGCGGCGAATTACGGCCTCAGCCTTGAGCTTCCATCAAGGGGTAAGTGCAGGAAATAAAGGAGACGCCACAGGTCAAGTGCTCAGTTCCCACGTCCCCTCACAGGCTGGTGGGGAGGGCAGTGCAGTGACGGGCTCTGTGCACTGTCCAGCCCGTCACACCAGCGGGGCTGTCGCCACTGACCCAGGAGGATGGAGAGAGCAGTAAGGGCGCAGAGGAGGGCCACACGTCTCTCCTCACTTGACCAGATGTCCCTTGGGGTCAATAACAGGGGGTCACTTAGCCTGAATTCTTCTAAACTTTAACTGGGCACACGTTTTATTTTCAACCTCTTCTTCTCAGTCTTCCCCCAAATATAAGGAACATGGGCTCTACTTTTATTTCTTTTATTTCTTTTCTTTTTTTTCTTTCTTTTTTTTTTATATGTCTTCATTGATCTCAGAGAGAGGGAAGGAGAGGAAGAGAGAGAGAGAGAGAAAGAAACATCAATGACCAGAGAGTCATTGATCGAGCCCTCAACCCGGGCATGTGCCCTGACCGGGAATCGAACCCCGATCACCTGGATCCTAGGTTGATGCTCAACCGCTGAGCCACGCCCGGCCGGGCTACTTTTATTCCTTTCCTAACGACAGTGTCTGAGGGACTTCTTAGTAGAGTTAGGGCTAAACATGTTGCTGCCAGGCTGAATTCAGAGCCTCCAAAGAGCCGGTGGGAACGCATCCTGTGAGAGCTGGGAGTGGTCAGGTGCCCTGCCAGCTAAAAATAGGCAGGTCTAAAGCCCCGTTCTCTGGATATAAAGGGAAGGGGAGGG